TCTTTAAAATATGAAGTTTTTGGAATAAATTTGGAACTAATAAAAAAATAACGAAATGTCAACCTGTTTATTTACGCAAGAGTGCATTGATTTAATGCATCTGGAAAAAGTAAGCTTTTAATTAAAAAATTCTATTCAACGAATGTGCCCTGGCGAGATAAAAGTCTAAAGTGCGAAGAGAAAACGCAAATGTGAGGTAAAGGAAAGGCAGACTGGGAAAAAAGATGCCGCAAGCGGATCTTACACATGTTCCCTTCTACGTGCTTAATTCGATGTATGTACATGCATAAAGTGTCGGCGAAGCACGTATGAGAACCCAGAACACGTGTTCATTTAATCGTAACGTTATATCCGTGAAGAGATCACTTCGCTTGATTCGCACCAACTCCTTTTCGAAAATCTCGAATAAACGAACGATCCCCAAAAGCGAAACGGCCGCACTCGTAAGGAATGATTTTAAATAAAGACGAAATGCGAATAGAGTAAATAGAACGCGATATGAGCACTTGCACAGCTATCCATTAGTGCTAACATCTTTAAATTACCTTACCGCAATAATTGCAGCTGTTAAGCCGATTATATCCAGTAGCTGCGTTACGCAAAAACTAGTATTCAGTTCATAAAATTTTACGAACGCGCGTTTTTACATTTTTTGTGTGTGTGTTTCGTGTTAAAATGGCAAAACTGTTCGATACGACGCAAGGCGTGATTATACGGGAATTTACTTTAACACGTCCGATCGCTGTTATATTGAAATGGTCGAGCGGTCGCAAGGAGACCAAATAATTATACAATTGCACAGAATGTGGGAGCGAAAATAAATTGAGAATGAATTGAGGTTGGTCCGCATAGGGGCAGGATAACGAGCGAGAGAGATAAAGTTATGGCGCAGGGGAGAGATAAGGGGGAGGCAACCAGACGAATGAATGAACCACACGTGTTCGGCTTTACTTATTCAGTGCATCGTCTGATTCGACACGCATCGCTGACACATACTGCTGCCCACTGTACGCGGAATACGAAATTCTTTCGAAACATTATCCGCATGTCGTTGACTTTGTGCCCGTTTCCTTTAATCAATTTAAAACCAAAAAAAAAAAGAGGCAAACGCCCCGAGCAGATAATAAATGCGGCCTTGCATGGCAACTTTCTAGGCAGCTAATTGTAAGATTCAACGTTCGTTTATGCGAGATGCTTAAACACGATAATAGCCCCAAATAAATTATCGAAAAGTCGTATCTTTTCGATCGGACGAACGCTCGTAGCTTGAAATTTAATGGTTCGCAACGTAACTCGCGACCTGCGCGATAAATCACGGTGTGCGTACTTTGAGACTTCAAATTTCTCTCTCGTGTGGATGTTTGAAAAGCGCGAGTCTTCGAATGTTAACAAACGAAGGCTGCTTCGAGAGTCCTCGATAAAACTTTTGCAATTATTTTACAGCATTAATTTTAAATTGTAAGCAGCAGTATCTCCGGCCCGGTGGTCTTTCAACACATTTACGACAACTTTATGATCGATCGAATACTCTTCTCCATTTGCGGGCTGCGCGTTCCCCTTTTTAGTGTATCGGATGACGCTTTCTCGCCGAGAAAAGGATTGAAGCGTCTCGGGCGAATTACTTGTCATTACGCAGCACATAATATGCCATATAAGCGCCGAAGAGAGGGCCGTGCGTAAGGAGAGAGAGGGAGAGAAATGCAGATTCGAATCGCGACTCGGGAGATTTCGTCATCGCGATGCACAACCGGAATACTGTACGAGTCACGGACGTATCTCTCGGCGCAGCGTGGCATACCGAAGACGCGCAGCGAGAAACCGCGCGGCGCATCTGATTATCGTCAGCGGCAAATCAAATCTCGAAGATTAAGACGCGGGGAATAATGCGCGAGTCACTCGTTAACGCGTCATGAAAACAATTTTATCTCCGTCACGATCAAGGAAAGACTTCGAGCGTCCAAAAAAATAATATCCTTATTTGCAATTTTTTTTAACCCTTGTACGTAACTTTCGTCTCAAGATGCTACAAGAATTGTGTATAGTATGTTTAATAAATAAATTCCGCACCAAGTCTGTCTACGATTGCGCAACAATCTGAACTTGAATTGTAACTTTTTATTGTCGTTCGGACAGATAAGTGGAACAAAAAGGTTATCTCGTTAACGAACGAAGCAAAAAAAACCAGGAAATTAAAAGATAAAAAGATGTCAGGAGGTTATCGCAGGAAAACGTTAGAAAACTCCACACGTTTCCTCTCGTGACCTCCTATCGCACAAAAAAGTACAATTAATATCCGTCGGGGCCACGAAATTAACCACAACGTCAAGTTAATTTCGTTGTGTCGCCCGACGACCCCAATTACAATTTAAATTCGCGTCGAATGTCTCACGTTTAACGCAAAGCTTCGAAATTGAGATAAACATTATCGCGGTTTTCTGGTCCACACCGTGACTTTTCTTGCTCCAATCGAGACGGCACTTGAGTTCATTTATAACATTTATCAGTTTCACCGGAGTAATCAGTAAACGGCTGTCGCGCAAAACGTAATCGGTCCTTTTTATAAACGTCCCGATGATTAACCCGATACTTCGTCGTATTTCTCGAATTAACAGCAGCGTATTTTTCTTACTACGACCAGGCAAAATAATCACGAGAGATATTGATCCATCGCTCGATGGTATTAATTAACGGGTAAGTTATAATCTTTCCGGGTTACACGTGTACGTGCGAGTACGTTTGCACGCCGGACTGTAAACTCAAGTGGAAAAGGAATATCCGCAATAAAACTGGTTTTCGTCGATCAGTTTATTACGTTGCCTCGATCGAGCGTGATCTCTCAATCAACTAATTAATATTCAATTTTAAATTGCATTTTCCTGCCGCCGAGGAGTGCGTCTCAACGTATTTCTAGTACAGACGGATGCACGTCGCGAGGCCCGTAACTTTTACGTTTATTATTACCTCCGCGGACGCCGCTAACAATTGACTAAAGAAAATGCCATGCGGCGCGTTCATTCGAACGTGGACGGTGACGTGATGCAGTCGCTTTCCAGTTAAATTCTTCATTTGGATGAAAGCAGCGCGTTTAATTTGCGAGACGAGCAGACACGCGAAACGTCACTGCGGGAAACGGATTCGTGACTCTAGGCGTAGAAAATGATATTTATTCTGCGGCGATCTCTCGTACGAGCGGGACACGCGAGGCGGAGGCTTATGCAAAGCGTTACGGCTACCGGCGACGTGTAAAAGGACACGCGCGCGTTTAAAGGTCCTCGCCGCGCCCGAAAGGAGGATCCCCTCGCGGGAGGAGGCGCGACAGCCCGTGCATTATCCCGCGGCCGCACGGAACACAGCTCGGTGTCGCGCGCTTTCGCCGCGCCCGACACGCCTGGCATGGCGTTTAACTATCGGAGATTCGCAATCGCGCGCGGACGAGCGAGCGGCTATTTTCCTCTCGTATTATGCTCTTCTCGCGCGAGTCTTCAGCCCGTTGCTCACCGGATATTAAACGTCGCGTTATTGCTACGCGTGCATGCGGGACCGAGGGTGCCTGCGAGGCGCGTGCGTGTGCCATTAGCATCGCTAATATCGATGTTGCATTTCCTTTCCCATGGGCGCCAAGCGTACCCGCAGCGAAATCGAATTGCGCGTTTAAAGATCGCGAATAAACATTTGGCGCGCCGGGCCCGGCACCGCGGCGCTGCACGAAGACGACGTTTATGGCACTTAAATGCGGTAAGAGAACGGTACGTTCCTTCCCAAGTAGTCAGTAATTACAGGGATAATTCGTACGTTCGTAGATTAAACGAATAAGGACGGAGGCATGGCGTGTTTGATCGGAGAAAATATTCAGACAATTTGTATTAAAATATTGTTTCGTAAAAAGTACAAAAAAAAGGAAAACGCACGAGAACGTAGCCGCTGTCTGTTGCGATCTAGAACGCGAGAAGTTAGACGCAAAACATGCCTCGGTGGTCGAATTGGTGAGACCACGGTCTTACATACAGGTCTTGCAACTCATATGGTGGGGGTAGGTCGAATTTTTAAGCCAAAAATCGTTCGTCTCTTGGCCACGAAACCGTGATTTCTATATCTGTGTCTCTGTCCTACTACCGCTGTACTACAGTATCGCAGCGACCCTCGTGGCCAAGAGACGAACGATTTTTGGCTTAAAAATTCGACCTACCCCCACCACCAAAATTTGGCTGAGTTGAAGGACCTGTATGTAAGACCGTGGGTGAGACGCCCGCCTAGAGTGTAGGGAGGGTCCAGGTTCAAACTCTACCTCTGTGAACCTGGCACCCGACTATTCGAAAAGAAATTTTTAAATAGCGGAAATGGTAGCCCTTCGTTTGTAGTTGATTGTAGTAAAAGAAATTTTGTTTGCAGTTTGATGGTTTACGAGATATAAAAATTTAAAAAATGACCAGCACCCGACATAAAGATTCCCAGAGTCAAACTCTGGCTGAGGTAATATTTTGCGCAATAAACGTTCCGTATCGTTAAACATACCCAGCTGTGGTCAAGAAAATACTGAAGCTGTTGAACGCAAAACATGCCTCAGTGGTCAAATTGGTGAGACGCCCGCCTAGAGTGTAGGGAGGGTCCAGGTTCAAACCCTGGCTGAGGTAATACTTTTCGCAATAAATGTTCCGTATCGTTAAACGTGCCAGATATGGTCAAGAAAATACTGAAGTTGTTAAACGCAAAACTCGTACGCGCATTTTGTGTCTCATTAGTTCCCCCCCCCTCACCCCCCCCCCCCGACAATGACTCTCGCCAATAAGTGTTAAGTTACAGCGATTAACTCGGTTGCGTAAAGCGGGTCATTATGCGACAGGGGGGGGGAAAAAAAAGAGAACGCGACGAACAGTTCGGCTCTGCCGACAGCAGTTTTCACGGCCCGACTCTCTTTCTGCAATAAAGTGGCACGCGAATTTCGTCAGAGACACACAATCACGTAGACGGGAAGTCAAGTACGAAGATATGTTTCTACTTACGCCTCGCAATACGGCTGTTTGTTGAAACCCTTGTACGTCCGCATGTTCAGGGTCATACCGCAGCCCTGACACTTGAAACACTGCTTGTGCCATATCTGTAACAGGGGAAACAGTTGTTACTGACATTCCGCGGTTCGTCAGGTTCACGCAATTGCGTAACGCGCGGCGGAGGAGATCGCCACGAAAGCAAATAAACAAATAAAACGTTCGACACGGCTCTCGAATTTTCCAATTTCAATCGGCATGAAACCCGAACTGAATCACAATCTGATATAACGTTATGTGCAGCGTGTTTCGTCATCAGCCGCTTTCGGCGGTTACATCAACGAGCGTTACAAAAGTGCCTCTATAAATATTAAGAGTCTGCCTTCTACGAAGCTCATTCTGACCGAGAGGTAGCTTGCTCAATTTTTCTACGTATCTTTTTGCACCCGAACGCTTGTGAATTATTTACTTTCGCCGGGATAATTTCATCGCGTCAAGTTTCCTTGCAATCGCGGGAAGTAAACGTCAGCGATAAATGACGATTGGGATTATTGGCGGTGATAACATTACGGCACGACAACGATATCTTGCGCCCTCTTAGTCGCAGCGTTATGGACTGTCAATATTTCATAATAATGATATCGATACGAAGGCAATCTAATTTCTTATACAGATAATCATGTGACGTTAACGAGGTTAACAGTTATCACAGTTTTCCGCCGTAATCTGTCTCTCATAACGGGACACGCTTCGGTATTTCGCCGTCGAAATTAATTACAATTTTCGTGCCGTGGCGCGCGTGCTCTTTTCCGAGAGAAGAAAATGTTATCAGGACAGCAATTTAATTACCGTAGAAGGAAGTTTTAAGAGTCTATCGAGAGCTATCGCCTGTTATTAATTGGCACACGACAGACCGAGAGGAACAGACCGTTTGAATTGTTCGTGAATTTGCAAATTGATATCAATAACTGCCTACAGCGCGATACAAAATCCTTTCAGCCAAAATACGAGTCAAACTAGAGGAAAGTCCCCTATTATGAGATACGCTCCTAATACGAGATGGCAGAGTTTCTGCTAAATCAATAGACATCATTTGTTGGTTTTATCGTGAAATTTGTTTAATGGTAAATTAATCGTCAGATCGCGCAATCGCTGCGAAAGAAGATTTGCAATTGAATTTGGACGTTGAAAACCTGCTATCTCGTATTAGAAGCCTGTCTCATAACAAGGGGCTTTCCTCTATTAATGAAGTAAAAAACAAAAATAACTGTTCCTATTTCGAATAAAACTAGCGACAAAGTTTTCCGTCTTACATGTATAGTGGAGATAATTATTTTCTGACCAATGACCTCGCGAATCATATATTGTACTAACGACTATTCTGTTCCACGAGAATCATGGATAAATAACAGAGTGTTTCGACCCAATTCGCTCGGAATTACGAGCTGATAAAGGTAACGAGTACAACCGTTCAACACCGGGGATAAAATTCTCCGGACGCATTAATGGCATTAAAAGTCCTTACAACCCTTTCGTCTCGCAAAGGCTAAGCGACATTTAGTTAGATCTTGAAATGGCACTCAACCTTGTCACATTACACCAGATATGACATTGATAAATAAGATACATGGCTTTCGTAGCACGGTGCAACAGACATTAACCAAATACGTCCGCTGCAATCTAGCAGCTGCGCGTATCATCATCATCCTCCCATAATCTCTCTCGCAAACATTACGAGAGACGTAAAGATTCTTCAAACCGGAATGATGACGTGCGAAACGTTATTGCGAAGCTTACGGTAAGACTAATGCGAGTTCTCTTGCAATTTAACCCTAAGTTTGGAAATGTACTTCACGATGTCCCCGTGAAATCGAATGTCAGATATTCGAGTGGCGAGATATCGTAATAGCTTACGATAAAGATGCAAGCGTAAACGTAGATAGCGCACAAGCTTCGGCGTAAATGTAACGTCATGCGTAATTGGAGCAAGTACAACACGCTTCTGCGCTAATTTACGCTTACGTCTTTGTCGTAAGCTATTACGTCGCTTTGTGTGCTCTGACCCTTACTTATTTTACCCTGAAAATCGTGTAATTCTTAAAATTTTTGATTGCTATAGTAACACATTTCTTAATTCGTTATAGGAATTTTCTTTTGAACAATGTATTGAAAAAAATTGTGCTCTCTCATGTTTCTCTTCGATATTTTTTTCACCCTTGACTTATATCTATAGTCACACACGGTTAGAACTTAAGTCGACATAAGACTGTATTAGAAAAAAAATTTTAGGCGGTCGCTATTTGTATAAAATTATTTAATAAAAGTATTTAAAACAATTTGGAATAGTTAATTCGCCAGCGATTAATTAACATTCAGGTGAATAATCCGACACGACTGGCTACAGGAAAAATCCTTTATTTTCTCACTACGTTTCGGCCATTGGTTTTGGCCCTTTTCAAGTGTACAAATCAGCGTACGACATGTGGTTAGATGCCATTAGGCCCGCTAAGACAAAGAACGTCGTGATATTGCTTATATGTTAAATAAATAAATTACATAAATTACATAACTCCAATAGATTAAATAATTTAAATAAATAAATAAATAAAATAAATTAAATAAATAAGTCAAAGAATAAAATAAGTTTTCAACGTACATTAGACAATGACAAGTTGCTTCTCTCGATGTTCATGGTTGCTGTGTAGGTACAGAACTGAGACTAAATAGTGTGGGTCAGCTTAGTGTCGAGAACCGGTGATCGACAATTTTAGAAGTTCAATGACATAAATATTTATTGTCTACGTAACGTTTATGATATTTTCATACGTTCCCGGTAAATTCTCGGTGTCTTTTTGACAATTAATCGCGGTGCTATGTTTTTTTAATAAAAAACATTTCTGCCACTTCTCTTTTCCTTAAATGTTTTTCCTTGTGTAAAATTATTGGGTCAGACCACTGGAAATCATGGCCCTGAGTGATACGATGTTTACTGAAAAGTATTTAATTTTCTGGTGCAAGGAGCTTCGTTATAACTGGACGAAGTACGGTTGCATTCATCGCGTCAAGCTATACATTAAGCTAATCTAGACAATCGAAGGCCATCGTATCAAAGCCCTCGGCAATCGGCAAGGCCGTTCTCAGGAATCGACAAAGGTTACAGATTGCGAGAGAACGCAGTCCCCGACAACTCGATCTTGATAGTCTCGAATCACAAGATGATTCATTGCTATAATATGAGTCGACTGTGCAACTTCCTTACTGTATCCCGTGTTCGAGAACGGGAGGATTAGTAGCTCTTGAACGTAAATACCTTTTGACGTAAAAGAGTGTAGTGTGGAATTGAAACGAAAACATCATTTTAAGAATTTCGGAGACGTCACTTTGAGAAATATGCTCATTAGCTAATTCCGCTATTCGTTTTACAATCGTTAGTAGCACACGATTTTCTCATAAGACTTCCTTCGTTGCAAAATAGCATCGCGAGCAGGAAGCTGAAGGCACACCGCAGTACGTTTTAACGATCCTTTCGAAAGCCGCATACGTTAGAAAATGGTTGCGAAGACAAAAGGGAGCGGATCCATAAAACAATCTTTAAACTAGGCCTCATATTCAGTGTTTAGTTTATAAATAACTTCTTGAAAAAGCTGCTAGAAAGCTGTTAGAGAAGTCTTAGAAATGAGAAAAAAATCATATTCCTTTTTACCAACAAATAATCGCAAATAATTTTATTTTAAAAAAAATCAACAGGTCAATGATTACGCGTCAATAACGTCAGCATTTATTTTAACTGGAATGAAAGGCGGCTAAATTGAGGCGGCAAGCAAAAGTGCGATTTTAATCGTGCGTTGCAAGATCGAGACGTCGCGAGGAAGAGTTTTATCGAACGGTAAAAGAACTTTCGCTCTTAATTCTATAAAATGTCAGCGAACCGCCGTATTAAATAAAACGTCGGTGCGGAATTTCTTTCTTTTTTTCTCTTTCTCTCTCTCTCGAAGCACGTTTCGATTTCTAGACGGCGAGGTCACCGATGTCAACTCCGCGAGACAATGTCGGAATGCGACTGGTAATGAATGCAACGGTACCTTATTTGTATCGCGCGATCGGCAAGATACATTATTGTACTTGTAAGAAACACGACTGTATTGTTAAACTGGTATGCCCGTGGTTAGAAATTGACCTCATATTTTAACGTTTCACGTCCGATATCACGCAATAAAGCTTCACCGCCGAGAAAATATTGCGGCAAAATTGATCGATGCCGAAAGAGCAAGCGGAGCGAAAAACGAATCGGAAATTCGAAAGTCTACAGATACGCGCTTCGAATCGCGCGTACACCCTCGGAAAGGATTTCTATTACCGAGACAAAAAGTATCCTTGGCGCATTTACATTTATCGCAACATCATTTAGTACAAAACTAAAACGATATCAAAGTAAAATCAATAATTCTTATGCTCCTCTATCGAATTGAAAAAGATTCGCTTACTATATTGAGACAAGAGTAACTTATATAAATGTAAGTTTCTTGCGTTTAGAATAAATTCCCCCCCCCCATCTTAGAACGCACGAAGTTGGCACCCACCACGATGTGCGATTTTATTCTAGATTTTAGAAGTTTTCATTTAAGATTAAAATATCCCTTTCTCCATGATAAATACGATTGGCGCTATATCGATCCTATTTTATGATACGTTCAAGTGCAACGGCATTGGATCCGGAGATTATTTCTGTGGGTGTACAAGATACTTCTATTTTGCCGGGGGAAAAAAATGAAATTTCACGGATAAAGAAATCAAATTATTTTGTATACCTATTATTATGTATAAACCTGGCCATGTACGGCTCGCTTTGCGAGATTATAATGTACAGAGTCGTTCGACCGTACAGACCTGATAAGAAATCTGCATAGGGGGAATAACATTGTAGAGCGGCTTTCCTGGGCACTTTCATCCGATTTCGGAATGTTTTTCGCCTGTGCAAGCCTCTTGTTTCGCAAGACGTATCTTATTTATAGTTGCCGTATTATACATGGTGTCCTGGATTAAGAAGAGAGCGGCCAGCGTTGCGGCAAAGCCGCGCTCATATCTCTTGGATATGCTCGACGTTACGTGT